AGGCCTATTGTTATGACCTGGCCTGATACTTAGGAGTCACGCGGAGCGTATGCGCACTCGACTCTTGTCCCCAATATCAACGCACGATCGGCCATGAAAACTGTATTGGGAATCTGAAAGTCGTCCTTACTGGAAAAACAATGCATATTTGTAACATCCTACAGGGGCTGGCCGGCATTCGGTCCAATGCGCTTGGACAAACAATTCCTGAGGAGCTGATATTTTTCCCGCATGCACGGACCAGTCTGGCTCGAGGGGAGTAGCCAATGGCGAGGCACCATCATCATTCAGATAGCGTGCTAGCTGCTTGCTAGAGAAGGCTTGCGTGATCTCAACTGATTGACTGGCTCTTTTTCTTGGGAGTGTAGGGACTCCCAACACCTCTCATTCCAGTAATTTAATATCGCTTCTGCATTTACTGACCTGCATCGGCAGCGCTGATCGGCGCACGCGGTTTGTCCGGCGTCTTAGTTGTGGTTTGTTGTCTGGAGACGCGGAGGGCAGTGATCGATGCCGAAGGCAATACATCTGAAGGGGAGCAGCAGTGGGTTCGGGAACCGACCGATCTGCTGGAATGTGCTGTGTTACAACAATGCCGCAGTCGAATCCGGTTGTGGTGACGAACCCAGGTATCATCACCAACGGCGACATCAAACAACATACCGTCTTTGCATGCTATTACGTTTGACTCAATCCAGTCTGGGAACCCAGTTTCATAATCACGAATTAAGACAGGCGCTCCGACGGAAAGCTTGTCTTCTCTGGCTGCCCGCCGGCAGGAACGAGCACATAAGACGTTGTACGCAGTTTTAGGCCCATTAAAGCTTCGAGAGGAGAAAGGCCACCAGGGGACGCAGGGTTTGGAGTTGTCCTGTTGGAAAACAGGAACACCTGGACTATCTCGTCTGTGGTCCCCTCAACCGTGCTTTTTAGTGGGCTCTCTTAAATTTGTCAAAATACATTCCACTAGACCGTTATACTGAGGATGGTATGGCGGGAGGGAAGA